TAATGATTGCACCAATGCACCCAGCCTGAGCGACAGAGTGAGACCTTATCTCTTAAAAGAATAAAGCAGGCCAGGCACATTGGCTCATGCCATGCCTATAACCCCAGTACTTTGGGAGGCTGAGGTGAGAGGATTGCCTGAGCCCACAGGTTCAAGACCAGCCAGGGCAACTTGGCGAGACCTCATCTCTTCAATAAATCAAAAAATTAGCTGGGTGTGGTGGCACGTGCCTGTACTTCCATCTACTTGGAAGGCTGAGGTGGAGGGATCGCCTGAGTTCAGCAGGTCGAGGCTGCGGTGGTCATGAGCGTGCCCCTGCGCTCCAGCCTGGGTGACAGAGAGACTCAGACTCAAAAAAAAAAAAAAAAGAATAAAGCTTTCAGAAAGCAGGGTCTCATAACTGAGAGGATTGAATGAGGTATCTAAAAATTACTCTTTTTAATTTTTTTTTTTTAAATAGAGACAAGGTTTCACGATGTTGCCCAGGCTGGTCTTTAACTCCTGGGCTCAAATGCTCCTCCTGCCTTGGCCTCTCAAAGTACTGGGATTACAGGCATGAGCCACTGCACCTGGCCTGAATATGACTCTTCTCCATAGACGGCTCAGTCAAGAAGGCAAGGTGACCTCATGACAACCATGCCCTTAGGGGATGCTTGATTCTGCCCAGCAGGGACATGGCCACAAAATGAAATCCTGCCAGTGGCTAAATACAGCCCCCGGAAGAGCTCCCTGACCTCCTGATGCTTCCTTGCATTTTGCACAGCCTCCACCCCAGCAACTGCCCCACAGTTTTGTGACTGTCTCCCAAAAAAGCCTCGTGAGGGCAGGGACCACATCTTCCATGTCTGTGTGCGCAGGACCCTTCACAGAAACAGCAACATCCAGACATGCGAAGCTTGCCTGCAAATCCGCAAGACAGAGAAACTACAGAAGAGCAAGGGTATGAATATGGGGTTCCCCGATGGGTTGTCCGCCAGAGGAGGTGTAGGAAGGATGCCCCACATACACAAAACAAAGTAGCAAGATAACCCCTTGGTCCCTGCCACGTGGGTAAGTTCTGCAAGTTGAATAGGGCAGCTAGGGCCATGGAAGCCTCATGGAGGCAAGCAGGCAGGACCCCATCTGATCCGATACCCACATAAGCCACGGCCAGCAATCCTTCTGGAGGTTGAGCACTTCTGTGGTTCCTCATGTAGCACAGAGTAGTTAGAAACTGGGGCCTGGTCAAGCGGAAGAAATTAAAGAGCAAAGAGCTTACAGAAAGAAAGGAAGGACGAAACAGGCCGGGAACGGTGGCTCATGCCTGTAATCCCAGCACTTTGGGAGGCCAATGTGGGAGAATTGCTTGAACCCAGGAGTTCAGAACCAGCCTGGGCAACATAGTAAGACCTCTTCACTACAAAAAAATAAAAACAAAACAAAGCAGTGGGTGTGGTGGTGTGTGCCTGTAGTTCCAGCTACTCAGGAGGCTGAGACAGAAGGGAGCTCAAATAAAAGGAAGCCCCTACAACTTGGAAGGAGGAGAAGTGCACTGTGGGCTTGAGGCTACAGGGTGTGATGATCTGCCAGAAGGGTCAACTCAGCCCTCGGCCCCAGGGTCAAACGGAAAAGAGAGAACAAACAACAGAAGTTTTCTGGCATCTCCAAGCCGGCTCACAGCAGGGAGGACAGCGTAGTAGCCGCTCTGAGGCGCACGGAGACCCTGAGGACAGAAGCAGAGGGGCTGGGGATTCCTCCGAGTGAAAAGGAGCAGGGCCAGTGGCTAACGGCTGGGAGAAAGGCCCCAAGGGGAGCTGGGCGAGGGGTCCCACCCGACCCGAGCTCCCCCTGAGCCAGTCGGGAGGCCAGAAAGCTGCGGCTTCCTGGTGAAAACGCCACTGCGCACCAGGCACTCACCTGCTCCTCCCTTCCAGGAACCATCACAGCCACCGAGTGCCCTCCACTGCCTCCCTCCACAGGCTCCGAGGGAGGGGAGGAAGGATCGCCCCCACGAAGGAGCCTTCCGTGACTTGGGATCAGGGCCTCCCACTGCCGACTCGCTTCCTGTTGAACTCTGCAGGCCTCTGAAATCAGGAGAGGCAAAAGACAGGAGAATCTGCGGACACCTCTCCCTCCAGCAGAAGCGCTGGATGGGGGCCTCAGCGAGAGCGAAAAATACTTCCCAGAAAGATTCTCAGCAGAAAAGATTCTCACCAGGAAGAACCAGAAAGTAAAACTCCCAAAAAACTGGAGGACAGACATGACTCACTCTCAAGGAGTGTTTAACATTTAAAGGAACCAGCGCCCAATTTCCAACCCTTCAGAAGAGGGAACTAGCAGACAACTGGCTGGTGAACAATACTAGAGAGCTGGACAGGACGTGTTGGAAAGCATTTGCACGGATGCCGTTTGGTATGAATAGTCCTGTCAGTGGCAAGTTATCTGTAGCTCTTCCTCATAAAGGGTCTGGGAAGGGGCGTTTTCCCTCCACCTTCGTCCAAATCTCAGCATGGGAGACATGAACCAGATCTCCTGGGTTCTTCTGAGGTCAGAGCCAGCCTGTGGTTCAAATGTGGCAAAATTGTGCACAAAAAAAGAGGAATTATCCCAGCCCAGCCCTGAGTAGTGGCAATAACACACGAGTTTCCATTGCTGGCCATGCTCTCGGCTTTAGTAATTAAGCAGTGTGCTTACAGCACCAAGCCTGAAGGTACAGTCATACTGAGGTCTGTCACCCAGGGCCCTGCACCTTTTCCTGCTTCCTCTCTTCACTCTCCGACTCTGTTTTCTGTTTGAATTTTTAGAGTTTTCTACCCTTTTGTTTTACATCCTGTACGGTTATAACCAGAACACCACCAATGAGACAGTAACGCAATGTGGCACTCTTTGCATGAACTATCTCTAATTCTCACAGCAATGCAGGCTATTGTTCTCCCGTGTTAAGGATGAGGAAACTAAGACTCAGCCACATGGATTCAAACTCAGCCCTGTCGAGCCAAAGACACTTAGGACTTGGAACGAACCACGGTTCTGGAAGAACAATTGAAACGAAGTGTGACCTATACACAAGGGTCAGAAGGTCCTAGGTTTCTCAGTTACCTACCAGAAAGGAGTCAGCCTAATAAAGGCACAAGCTAACAACAGGGATCAGACCATTTGTGTATGCCAGACACAGTCCTAAACAACTCTCAGAAGTGGCTGCTACTATTGTTTCCATTTTATGGATGAAGACAATGAAGTCTATTTGTCTCCAAGACCTTAGGTGATTAATCACTAACTAAACATGTGTACACAACCAAGAATCTCAGCCTGACTGACCTCAGAATTAACTGCATGGGGTTAAAAATAACCAACCTTCAGGCTCTAACTTTGAAACTAACTCCTCCCACAGCAAAACTGGGGGAGACAAAACAGTCTGAGCCTAGTCCTCAACAGTTCTAAATAAATATTCACGACCACTGTTATGTGAACTCAGTTCATGACATCAGTAAGACAGTTGTGAACTGGAAGGCCTGTGTCCAAGGTCACATCACTTAGCTGACAAGCGGCAGGACAGTGCCTGAACTCAGGGGCGTCTCGCTTGAGAGTGTCCACTCTCGGGCCCTGCACATATCCCCTGCCCACACCCAACCCAGCCTGGCAGAAGTGGGTGAGCTGCTGGAGATGTACAGGGGCAGTGGGTAAATGGGTGTGTATCGATCGGGGTGTGGGAGTGTCTCAGGGCTTTGACTTGTGCCACTTGTAAAGCACTGATCCTGGACTCCCTAGGAATATGGCCAGACTCGGTGGCTCAGCCTGTAATCCCGCGCCTTTGGGAGGCTGAGGTGAGTGGATTGCCTGAGCCCGCGGGTTCGAGACCCGCCTGGGCAGGTGAGAC